CTAGTCGGACCAGTCGATCCGGTCCGTGTTTTAAAACAGAGGTTAGATTGATAAGTATAAATAATTAATATGTTTCGTTGGATCGAATAAAATATTATCAGAGGGGTTTTTACTTAATTGCCCTTCCTTGTTAATATTATTATTATTTAGAACATTTTTTTAACCTTTTACATTTGAGAATTTAACTAAAACACCCCAATAACAAAAGTTTAAAGTTTAAAAAAATACACTTAGCCACCCAAGATGACTGTCAATCGCCAACCACCACCATCGGCCAATGTCGATAGTCGCTAGAACAGCGCACGATTGACCGGATCTGGCCGACCATTCGCCGATCTAGCGATGGATATGGCTAGAAAGCCATATCCATTCTGGCCATTAACGATCAAATCTATGGCCGTTAACGGCTGTGGATCTGGCTGAAAATAGCTAGATCTATTATGGTTGTTAACGACCATATCTGTGGCCATTTACGAATTTGGATCTAGTAAAAAACAATCATAATGGATCTAGTCATTTTCGGCCTTCATCTGGCCAAAAACGGCTAGATTGGTGCACGACCGACTATTTTGATGATTGTCGATGGCGACTGATGGTCGGTAATGGTCTTGGGTGATTGTAGGTATTTTGCATATTATCCATGTAAATAGTGAGGGTATTTCTATCCAAAAATTAAAATATGAGGTTAAAAAAGTCATTTCGCATATTTGGGCTAATTGTTATTTAGTAGACATATGAGGGCATTTGTGTCCAAAATTTTTATTAATTAAAGTAAAATTGGTATGAACAAATGATTACCCCAGTAATAAAGAAATAACACCTTTTCATACGATAACCGAATTACCCTCTATATTACCTACAGTAATCACTTTTGGTATTGGTTAATTACCAGAATCTTTGATTACTTGACATTCAAACGTGGTAATTGTCGGATTAAAAGATAGATTATTGGTGTTATCTTTTATGACCCTGAACCAAACGCTCTCTATAAAATTATTTTATAATTACATAGATCAGAGGGAATATAACCACATAAATAAGTCATGAGAAAATCTACAATACACTTGTGGTACCAACTCAGTAATCTAATCTGATACCACAAGCCATTTAAATCTTAACATGTGGTATATTTATTAAAAATTATTGTTTTAATTTAACTAAGAAGTCCAAAACAAAATCTGCCAAATGACTCCTTTTGGTTAGATTTTTAGAATAGCATTCTACGCTAAATAGCATTTTTAGAAAATATGATAGAATTCTAAGAAGTTTTTGGTACATTTCTTAACAGCATTTCCTAAAAACATCTAGATTATTTTTAACCCCCTAAGTTTGTTAAATTTACTAAACACTCTCCACAATAAAAGTTTATAAATTGACACAAACACCCCACTCACCCACATATTGTTGGTAGCCAGCCACCACAGTCGGAAGGTGGAAGGAATTTGCTGGAATGGCACACGATTGACTGGATCTGGTCGGTTGTGCGCCGATCTGACCTTTTCTGATGGATCCACCATAGAGCTAGCCGTCAACGGTTAGATCTTTAGCCGTCGATCTGGCCATTTTTTACTAGATCCATGATGTATTTGGCCGAAAAGGAACAGATCGGCGCACGACCGGCCAAATCTAATCGGTCGTGCTTCATTACAGCTTCGACGATGGCAGCAACAGTGGCTGCTAACGGGTGATAGTGGCTTGGATGGGTGGGAGTGTTTTTGTTAATTTTAAAAGTTTTATTGAGAAAGGTAATGGTTAGTTTTGAGTTGAGTAAAATAGGATTGGAATTTGAAGAATATTAAAACAAAAACATTTTTTGTTTTATAGGATAAGATAGTAAAATAGGATTGTGGGAAAAGAGTGTGCCAAGCGGACCCATAGTTTCTGCTACTGAACCACCACTATTGCCACCTTCACTGCTGTAGCCAGGAAGCAGCTATCCACAGTTCCACACTGCCGCAGTAGTAGCCATCCCCAGTTGCCCACCACCACAACCTCCCAATTTTCCTATTTACCCAATTTCTTTATTTTTTTATTTTTTATTTTTTTAACAAGAACACAATCAATCAAAAACTCAACCATTTTCATCTGGTTAATTGAAGATCAAGGTGTTTGTTCTGATCCATAAAATTCAGATCCACTCTACATTTTTTAATTACAATTAATATGTCATCTCTTGCATCTCACTAGAAGTTTACACTTATTTCCAATTATCTAGCTAAATAATTACTAAATAATATTAGAGTCTGCGTTTGTAAAATCTCATTGTTGTGTATATCAAGTAATAGACAAAGAATAACAATCAAGAATCAATTAATTTTTAATTAATTACAAATTATTAAGCTACCAATTAGGCAATTACCACCTTACTTTTAGACTTGTGTTTAATTTCCACATAAAATCAACTTTTAAATTAATCTTCTAGGAACTTGGTGGTTAATCAATTGTATATATGTCCAGCAGACTTTCAATGGATCGCAGAATTAGTTAAGGTATACATAAACTGATCCACTACGATGAAAAAAAAAAAAAAAAAAAAAAAAATTGACTAGCATCGTCATTGACTTGTGAGTCAACTCCTTTTATCATTATTATTTGCTTGAGGTTATATATTTCTAGATACATTTCCTTCATCAATTTCATTTGGAAGCAATATGGGCAAAGAGGTTAACAACTTCTTGGAAATTATAATCTGAGAGACGACATCAATTGGACCGACTAGTTACTTTTTAGGCATGCATATGTGATATGTTCACACCAAAAATCATCAAAAGTCTAGCTAGAAACGTGATCATGTCATGTCCAATTATTGGATCAAAGCTTAAATATTCTTCCAGGAACTTGCATATAAACTTAAAAGTTTAAGCTTTTAGACTTTTCAAATTACTTTTGAAGTTCTAGGCTAGCTATCTGTCGACTTCTAATGATGCTGAAATTTTCCGGGAACTTCATTGGATCCTTTCCATGTGAACAGGAACTTCTTTGCATCCCGGCCGTTATCCATGGTTGACCGAGTAGTCAATAATAAAAAGAATGCGTTTTCTTGTGGAAATACCCAACTTACAAGACTTGTCCCGGCCTTCCCTATCCCATAGGCTTCAGACATACTCATGAGACTATGACGGAGAGATGCCATATAGAGATGGCAATAGGCTCGATATTTTTGGATATCTAGCCTGGCCCGGCCTAAAAAAAATCGGGCTTTACCTGATGTTTGCGGGCATGGATTTGGGCTTGGGCCTGACTTTAGGGTCCGACCTCCAGCCCAGTCTGACCCAACAATTTTAGTATTAATTATATTAAATTACCCTTATATTATATATTTAATTACAAGATTGTCCTACATATATATAGTCATTTTTTGCAAACCCTACATGAATGGATGGATGCACTTTGTGAAAAATTATTTATATATTTGGTAAGTATTAAAAAATAAATTAATATTTAAAAATTGTTTCTAGAATTAAAAATATAAAAAAAAAATGAAATTTATTAATATTTAAAAATTCACATTATAAAAATGAGCAGGCTTGGGCTAGGCCTAAGGTTACAAAAAGCCCGTCGAGCCGACCTTGGGCTTTATCTATCATACTTGTGAAGGGCCCGGGCCGGGCTTGGGCCTTTGTCATGAGATCGAGCTTGGGCCTGGGCCAAGGGGTATCCGGTCTCGGCCCAGCTGATTGCCATCACTAGTGCCATGTGGAAAAACCATCAAATATGCTAAACCTGTTTCCAAATCAATTTCATCAACATTTCCTCATGCATTCATCATAAACATACACAGTACTTTCTTGCAAACCAAGGGAAAACATATGGTATAAGACATTTTCAAATTCCTTACAATCCAAAGAAAACATGAATTAAACTACATGATAGAAAAACATAAGTCTTGCAGCGGAAAATTTAAAAACATGACATATTACACACAAGTAAAATGTCATCGCGTGGCTTAACCTTGAATATGCGTTTGCTTATGGAAATAACCAACTATATGCCTTTTACATTTGTGTTTTAGGTAAAATCATTTGGATTCGCTGAAAGTATTGGTGGCATCAGTTGAAGATGAGGAGTTTCTCAACTCCCAAAACCTTGAAGGCAACACTATCTTGCAAGTATCTGCTATATTGCAGCAACATGATGAGGTACAAGCCTTTCTATCTCTTGCTTAATTTGCTTGAATTCAAGGAGAATTATCACATTGCACACTCGGAGAGCAGGCAGGAGGGCACTGTCAGTCTGTCACTAGTGGATATTACTCAATTCATTATCTACTAGTGGTATAACACATCTTATAAAGCTCTGGGACAAATAGAAAATTACAAAATTGAAACCATCCGTTTCGAATAACGAAGAGCAATTAATCAAGTCTAACGATGGATTTTTTTTAACAAGCATTATGAAGCATGGTTGTTAGTATCCTACGATACCCGATACATATCATATGATACGATTCGATATAGGTCACCAACAATACGTATTAGAGAGTGTATCCTAAACCATTCGATACGTTGATATGTATCCTACGATACGATACGTATCCATTCGTATCCTTAAAAATATCGATATAAATCGATACGACTTTATTAATTTGGGCCAAAGGTCCAAAAAAAATTTGGGGTCGAAACCGGGTCACCTAACCTGATTCACTAAAACCTGTCCAAATTTACCTATTTTGCATGGAGAGAGTGAAGAGGAATATGTATTACCCATTTTACATGATAATAATAATATAAGTGGAGATATAGATATTGACATTGATCTTGGAATTTTGTGATTAATTTTGATTGTGTAATACTGTAATTTAAAGTCAATAATACCACAAAATTCTTTAATTAATTTTGGGGATTATATTAATTTTTAGAAAATTTTGATTATTTTATTAATTTTTTTGAAAAAGGCGTATCTTACGGTATGATACGATACGCGATACACGATTCAAAAAATTAGGTTTTCGATATACGATACGATATACGATTTGATAACCATGTTACCAAGAGCTCTAACTAAGAACTCCGAATAGAATTGTTTGAACAAGGAGTTACATTTACGTAACATTAGTACTAGTATCGGTGTGTCTGAGACATGGAAAGAAATAACTGATTAGTCTAATTTGCAGTATTTATATATATTTAAGAGTTGAATCTTAACTAATAGTCTAAGCTTTGGGATTAAGTAATTCTATAACAACGCAAGCATCCTTCATCTAAAACACATTTACTATTCAAGAAATTCAATGTCTATAAACTAACTTAAACTCGTATTCGTTAACGACGTCATGATGGGATGCAATGGAAATTGGAAGCTGTATGTATGCATAAAGTGCAATCTAGTCTTCTTCTTAAACACTCACCATAATCTGATCATGGTGTTGGTTCTTTTTGTTCTTATAACAGCAACAGCAACAGCAACATCTAACTATATAAACTACACCCATGAACAGCTTCTTCACCACCCACCAACAAAATCTAAGCGTATGAATCGCAATTATGACTGCAAGCAACCCAGCCCAAAGCCATAAGTACCAAACACTAATAAAATCAAATACGTGATCATATTGATCTTGTGAATCATGTGGCATAGCCAAGCTGATGTATAAATAATATGTAGCTGCAACAAACAGCACTGTAGCCCACATTCCTATGAGCAAAATCCCCACTGAAACTCTGTTTTTGAGAGGAACTCCACTGATAAGCCACAAGATTATGCTTAGTGATGCTGAAAATGAGAGAGTGCTGAAAAATACTAGCTTGTCATGAGTGTATTCATTTATTGAAGTTTTAAAAATGCAGTTTACTGCTCCAATTGTGCAGTTTTGATCTTTTTTATTGGTTCCGTCACTTTTCCAGTCCCCACCTGGTGGATTTGTTGCCACTTGAAAACTCATGGCTGCAATCAATGTGGCCACCACTATCAAGTTGCCTCTTATATTTTCATAATTGTTACTCTTGTACTTCATTACCTTTTTGCTCCAGTCATATGTCGTTGATGACAATAATGCTGCATGAGATTTTGCTTCTTTCTTGAGAGCAGCTTTTGATTTTTTGGTGGCCGATCGAGTGCTTTGAGCTTTGGTGGTTGTCTCAGTAATAGGATTTTGCAAATTCCTTGGAATTGTGCCGTTTCTGTAAATTGCTGCAAAGCCATTCTCGATCAAGGAGTTGACATCTACTTTTATCTTTGGTACTGAAAGCAAGTACCTTGTAGTCTGCACAAATTAAGCATATAGATATATAATTTTAGGTAAAATATTGTTCATGATCTTACTACTATAAATATGAGATATCATATAGAGGTTAAGAGATCGGTGCGAATATAGGTGAAATTTTAAATTTCTTTATGATCAGATTCTCGAATCACCTAGTAAGAGAAGGTAACTTAGATGTATATATATGTGTGTGTGTGTGTGTGTGTGTGTGTAAAAACTCTGTTATTTTAGAGAAAAACTGTGCAGATTAGACTCAAAAAGAAATAATATAAAATCAGCTAGATCGAGCAAAATGATCATTGACAAACTAGACTGTTTATAAGAGACAATTCTCCTCAAATTAAAGCAAAGCAAAAGACAGGGCTGGTACCTCAAATTGCTTCAACATGGCAGAGACTTGCAAGATAGTGTTGCCTTCAAGGTTTTTGGAGTTGAGAAACACCTCATCATTGACTGATGCCATCAGTAGTTTCAGAGCATCCAGATGATTATACCTAACACACAAGTGTAAAACTGTTTCTCCGTTGATTTGCACAAGAATTGACTCAGGTTTTGCACTTATCAGCTCTTGTATCACCTCGACTCTCCCTCTCATTGCAGCCAAATGGAGAGGAATTCTGCCCTCTTCATCAGCAACCAAGCACACCTTCTTATTTGCTTGCAACAGCTCTTTGACAATCTCAGTGTGGCCCTCAGCAGAAGCTAAGTGAAGAGGCGAGCGTTTGAATGAGTCCAACTCCGTGACAAGTTGAGGTTTTTGGCTCACAAGAGCCTTACTGAATTCAACATGACCAAGCAAAGCTGAGATGTGTAAGGGAGTTTCAGTGAAGGCAGTGAGTGAAATTTTATGGCAAATGAATGGATCATTCTGAATCAATGTGTTCAAGGTGGCTACACATCCCCTCATGCTTGCTTCATACAGCGTTTGAGTATTGTCAGCTTCCTCAGCTCCTATCTCCATTTCTGATGATTTTCTGTTCTATCTCTTTTTCCTTTATTTTTCATCTATCCCTCTCTCATATTTATATTATCTATCTCTCCTGTGTATAATATTCATTTTAAAACAGTATGATGCTTGTGTACCACTCATTAGATGTGAATACGCAGTTTCATTAGATCTGAAAGGTTGACCTCTCTAGAATTGATATATTCTTTGTCCAATTATTGACTTCTCTGAAATTATATAATTTCCTAGAAGTTTAACCTTTTTGTCTGTTCAATTGAATTTTCAACGAAATTGACTTTATATGACAAGGAAATACTATAACAAAATAGACATCACATTGTTATATTCCAAATATACAAAACCAGGTCTTAGATAAAGAGTAGTACTAGCTTTACAAAGAGCCATACAAAGAGTCAAATAAAGAGTCAAATCCAGCCCTTGAAAGAAGGGAAAAAGAGAAAGAGAAAGAGGCAATTATGAATTTTAAGGGCTCGATTTGACTCTTTGTATCACTTTTTGTAAAGCTAGTATTACTCCTTAGATAAAACAAGCATACTAATTCCTGCAGAAAAATAAGACTTTCCAAATATTCTAGTGAAGTCAAGTCCTGAAGGGTCAGACTTTTCAACTGAAGATTTCAGGCTTGATCTCACAGGTTATTGACTTCTCCTCAATTATAATTTCCAAGAACTTTACCCTTTTGTCTTTGTAACTTCATTGACCATTGATACCATAACTTCGTTGACCACTCATACCATAACTTCATTGACCATTGATGCCATATTACAAGGAAATATTATACTAAATTAAATAAGGAATCTATATAACTGCTGATGCTAGATGCCTAAAACTTCCCAGAAACAAGTTACTTAAATAATGCCGAATTTGAATGAGCAACTTCTTGGAAATTATAGTCTGAGTTAAGGCAATAACTGGACCTATTATTCCTTACTCTGTNTGTGGGTAAAGACATTACATATTATGATTCATTATCCTTTAATGATGAAACTAGAAATTATTAATATTTCATAATACCTGTGGGCTAATTAAGAAATAAGAATAATTTCTATTTCATCCCTAATTAATCATAAAAATATAACATTCCCTGTGGGTAAAATAATTATATTAATATGATTAACTATAAAACGATGTTATTAACCTTAATATGATCATAACTAATATTTCTTAATGCATATATTATCATAATTTAGATGCTGCGGCTACTCTAAATTAATCAAATATATACGATCATAAAACATCAAATAATTTATAACATGAATTATATAATATAACACAAATCAATATAAGTATAATACATTATTTATGCATAAGTGAGAATAGAAGAAATCATACTTTCATACAATATCTTAATTGAATTATATATAATGATCAATAAATTGAGTTTAATTCGACAGCTACACGTGTCAAAACCCTAAATACTAAAATAAAACAAGAATCGAATTTATTCCGTAGGGATTTGCACTGGAATTGACGAACAACCAATATCAATATTAGTGTTTATTAGTATTGAATAGAAATTGAAATGGGGCGTGGCCAAGTGGTAATAAAAAAAACCATCATACAAGCTGTCACCGACTTCCACGCGCCACCGTGACTAAAGGACGCACCCCCACGCACCGCCAGAAGGCAGCACACACTCTCACGCGCCCTCACGGTCCTTTCATGTGCCTGCACGCGGTTGCACGAGCTTGCACGCGCCCAAGCACACACCCTCACACGCTTGACGCAAGTACAAACTCTTCACGAGCCTGCACGCGTCGGGTCTTGACCAGGGTCGGGTTGACCAGTTTGATCGGGTCGGTTCACCCGATTTGTCCCGTTGGACCGGTTCGTTGACAGGTTTGACCCGTTGACCAGTTCATTGACCGGTATGGACCGTTGATCGAGTCGGGTTGACCTAATGGGTTTTGGACTGGGTTGACCGGGTCGTTTGACCCGTTTTGACTTTTGACTTTTACCAGGTCAATTTGACCTGTTTATCCTATTGGGTCGATTCTTCTTGACCCGTTTTTCTGCAACTTTTACCCAATTTTTTTTTAGATTTTCAACAGCCCGTTTCCGGCCATTTTTCCGGTGTTTTCGATGGGAAACTTGAATGTGGACATATAACCTATATCGGTGACATCCCAAATGACAATTTCTTCCTAAATCGATGCCATAAATGGCTTCCGAAAACACCCAAACAATAATTTCTAACCAAATTTTTAAACTAGCATAACTTTGCATCCAGAACTCCGTTTTTGACAAATAATATACCGTTGGAAAGCTTTTTCAACAAGGATTCCAATGACATAAAAATCAAAACAGATTCTATTTATAATAAAAGTTATGCTTGATTTACAGTACAGGTTTTAATGGAAAAAATCCCAATTTTATGCAATATTTTTCAGATTTGCAACAAACAACTTCNCAATGATTATGTTCAGGTTAAAGTAGCAGGAAATAATTTCTTGTTCAGTTAATAGTGAACAGAAATCACATAAGGTTTGCAAACAAGAGAACCATGTAAGGCAAGTATATGAACATTAAGATATAAAACGAACCTCTGGCTTTTGCTCCAACTTCAGAAAAGAGTGGTAGCCCTCTGCTTAAGCTTTTTCTCTTCTTTTTTCTATGCTTGGAGTTGGAGTTCTTCATACTTGGTTTGCTGTAGACAATTGAGAGAATCTGGGTCAATCAAGAACAATAGAATGGAAGGCTTGTTCTAAGTTTTTAATTTGGAGAAAACCAAGAAAAGAGCCATGTATTTGATATTTTTCTTTGTTATTTGGCCCTTTATGCCCTAATTATTATAGAAACAAGTCACTATTGGTAGAAAATTAACACCACTTGCAATTAATAAGACAATACCTCTTCCAATGGGCCGGTGGTAACCAAGTCATATATCATATAATAGATTGAATTTTTTTTTTTTTTTTTTTTTTTTTTTTTTTTTAAGGATAGGAGGGTGTCTAAGCTAGTTTATACGCATATCAACTAACCTTTTGAAAATTTGAAATGATCGATCAATCAAGAGTTCCAGTAGCTACTCTTATTAGGAATCAAGAACCGTAGTCAGAACTCGCCCAAATGATGCATGACCGATTGGATCTAATCGTATATCTGGCCTTTTTCAGCCAAATCCATAGTGAATTTGACCGGAAAAGGCTAGATCGGCTCGCTACCGACCACATCTAGTCGGTCGTGCACCATTCTAGCAGATTTTTGCCACCTTCTGGTGGTGGTGGCGGGCTGTCGGAATATGTGGGTGGGTGGGTGAGGGTGTTTTTATCAATTTATAAACTTTTATTGTTAGAGGTGTTTAGTTAAATAACAAACTCAGGGGATTAAAAAAATCTAAATATTTTGAGTTGAATTAAATAAGATTGAATTTTGAGAATATTAAACAAATATATATTTTAAATAGGATCAGATAAGATAGTATTTGGAATAATGAAACAAACAAAAATTATTTACGAGCTGACACTTTATTTTTTGTTCTCGGACTACTTCATGACATAAATAATAAGCTCATATATATTATTATTATTAACATCAGACTCAATTTAGGAGCTAGCAAATCGATGATGTTATTGACATATATAATCATTCTTAAATTGGTTTAGATTAAAGTGTACAGTTTCTCACATTTAAGCAAATCCAATAACTGTTAGTAGGAAAGATCTATAATTAATTGATGATTTTCCCTGTTTTAATATAATGTATTGAATGTATTATGTTTGGACATAGGCAGTGACGGATCTAAAAATTTTGCCAAGGGGCCTCCGTAGCTCTACCGTTATTTGTCAAACAATTAATGAAAACTTTAAAAAATCATAAAACCTTAAGTAAAGAAAATAATACAATATTAAGAACCTGAAAGAAAAGAATACAACACAATACTTTCACACTTGAATAAATATATGAGAAGCAAAATTTTGAGTAAACCTTTAGCAAAACCTTCTTTTAATTTTTTTTTCTTTTTTTTGGCTTCCAAAAATTATAATATAAATTTTCTTTGATCAGGCATAGCTTAAGCTAAAAACAACCAAAACTTAAATCAAGTCAACGTTGCATTGACTTTTAATATTAATTAATAAAAAATAGGGGAATTTTCTTTGTATAAACAGAGATAGTAACTCGAATTTCTTTAATAATTTTGAGCAACTGAACGATGACGTTTGAAATGTAGAAAAATAGTGGGTGAAAGGTGAAGAATAACATCCTTTTAAATATAATTAAGGTTTTAATTTGGGAAAGTATGAACATTCTTAAACATAAAATACAAAATAAACTCACAAGATCTATGTCTTTTTCCCTCAAATTGGAATAAAAACTCCCAAAAAACAAGCATGATTCAACCGTAAAATAAACTAAATTGAATTTTTCCCTCAAATTGGAATAAAAACTCCCAAAAAACAAGCATGATTCAACCGTAAAATAAACTAAATTGAAANACCGGAGCCTTTCTTTTCTTCTCCTGCAAGACTGCCGATATATTCTTCAACCACATCCATGTCCTAACAAATTTGTGGTGGATTTGCAATTGTTAACGACCTTTCATTCCTGGTCTTTGGAACAAAATGGCATGTATATATTGACACATTTTTCTACTTTCACATACGAAAGAGAGAGATAACTACTGTTTCTTTCGCCAGTACTGCAACTAACAAAGTTGTGTCGAACTTTAAACAATAAAGTTGTGTTGCAAGTACCTTGAAATTTGTTTGGTAGTTGGCTAATCATTATTTCAACAAAATACTAGGAGAAGTCGTTCCACAGTTTCACAATAATACACGGTCTCTTTGGAATTGTTTTGTTCAATTTCTGGTGGCAAATTTAATGGTAAATAGTGATACCGACAATATTAAAATAAAAGTAAACTAAATACATATACAATAATACTAGATGTACAAATAAATCACACAAAGATTTATGTATAAACTGATGTGACATAAACTGAATGGAATGGTGAATACAAAAAGTCAAAATCATCATATTCATTCTTCTATTCATTTTGTGCCACATCAGTTTATACACAAATCTTTGTAAGATTTATTTGTACATGTAGCATTACTCATATCACTCAAAACTTGACTAACTGAGTAGTTTTTTGGGGGGTTTTCTAGAATTTGAAAGGGAGAACCTCTTTCTTTTTCCGTATTTGGGATAACTACTTGAGCCAGATTTTGAAAGGGGGGAGATCTGATAGGATCCTATCCCAATTTTTCTTTTGCTAGGCCTATAGTGATATAGACAACAGTGTATCGAACAAATATAATTTGATCGTAGCTAAATGGATCTGTTTATCTCCATCCCATAGATTTGGTTTTTTTTTCTTGACTTGATTGAAATGACAGATTCGTTGTATTTTCTGTTATACAAGAAGTGTTTTTTAGTGAAAAAGTTTTTTAATGAAAAAAAATATACCTCCTATTATAGAATAGCCGTTGTTGATACCAAAAAAGGCACCAACTACAAGGATCCGATTGACCGTGTTGGAATCGAAACGGATGTGTGCGTAATTAATTAAAATCAACAATGAAATGTGAAACGAGACAAAAGAAAATGGAAATTACACAAAAGGCTTTTAAAGTGGTTCGGTGAGTTATTTCTCAACCTACATCATCTGTTTTCTATTGCTTTTCTTTGATGAAATACAAAATACGCTCTCTCACTCTCTAAATCTCAACCCCTTTACACTGTTTCTTGGGGGTATTTATACATAAATTTCGAAATGGTAAATGAGATAAATCTGAGATTGCAATCATATCTGATATATATCCCGTAACTTCCATGATTGTGCATCAAAATCGAGCTAAATGGATACTAGCAATATCTCTTCCAAGATAGTAGGAGATCTGGGCTTATCTGTTGATCCGTCAAACAGCTGTTATGGCGAGCTTCGTTTGAATTGAGCTCTATGTTCTTGCAAACTTCAGTTCGCAGCGAGCTTTACGTTTCACGAGCTATCGACATCTTCGAGCTTACAGCAAAATTCACGCACAGTAGATGTAAATGATAAATTGATGCCCAATTGACCAACGGGCCAACATACCAATACAACTAGAGGTGTGTAATTCTTTCTTTTATTTTATCACCAAAGGTGTTTGAGTCAACTTGACTGCACATTAACTAATCCCCTAGTTTCCGTGGCCACTCCTATTAGTGCTTAGGGAGACTCGAACTCAAGAGCTCATGAAACCTTCTTTTGCTCTTTTACCATTAGGTCATCCGATGATGATAAACTCTTCCTGTTTTTCCTTGGTATTATTTTGTAATTTCTATTAAACTCCACACTAACTATATATTTAATTTAATACTTTGCTTAACACGTAGTTGGTTCGTCTAAATTTTTCTAGGATTTCTTTTCCATTGGATTTATTTGGACTTCTTTGATTCCATCTCTTGGTGAGCTTCTCGTGGAAGGTCGCTTAGAGTCTACTTAAAACATTTCAAAATTCAAAGTCTACTAGAGAGAAGACAGGAATTAAAAATGGTGTCCAGGTAAGGAGGGGCGGAAACACGTTGTGGATGACCCGGGCCACCGGGTCAAAATATTTGGAAAATTTTCTTAGGGTAGGTCCGGTAGGATGTGTTTTAATCAAATTTATTGGAAAAGAAAATTAAATTAGGATAAGTTACTAAAAGATTGAATTTTTATGGGGTTTCACATTTCACGTGGCTTAATTATTTAAACAAAACTACCATCACAATCCTTAAATAATTAATGACTTATTATTTTTACAACTTCAATACAATAAGACAAAATCAATTTATTTTTATATAAAAATTAATATAAAAATTTATTTATAGTNATAGGAAAACCCATTTTACCAGAACTTGTTAATGCAATAGAAGAATCAAGAATTTCAATTGTTGTATTCTCAAAAAATTATGTTTCTTCACCCTGGTGCTTGGATGAACTTGTGAAAATTGTGGAATGTAAAAACACAAGGGGACAATCAATCATTCCAATTTTCTATGATGTGAATCCATCCCTGGTAATAACAAAGTTGGAGGTAGCTATTGGTCAACATCAAAAAGTGTTTGCGGACCATATAGAAAACGTGCAAACATGGCGGAACGCTTTGATGGAGGTCACCAATCTGTTTGGAAGGGAGTTGAAGGATAGGTAAAAAATTCCTTAATCTTAATTCCTTACAATAAATATTATTTATTCGTCTTTACAATATGCAGAGCTAATTTCGAAAGCAACAAACACATAACTTTATGGTTCTGTACTGTAAGTTTGTTTATTTAGGTGGTGTTGTTTACAGTATAGATGATGTAGAGTGGAGAGGTTAACTAGCAAAGCACAAGTATGATCACTTCATCAGGTGTATCTATATATTAATTTGATTTGCCTCAATATATTAGATTAAGAGAAAATAAAAGAAAGGCTGTAACTGATTTTAATTCCTTGTGGTTTATTAATTTGATTTGGCTCAATTCAGTATAATAAATATGCAATTTGTTATTGATTAGTGTAAATATAATGAATGTTAATTGATTATTTTGCAGTCCTGAAGCAGAATTTATCGAAGGTGTTGTGAAGGAAATATCAAGTAAATTAAGTGGTTCAACTTCAACTTCAAAATTTATGAATCTCAAAAAATTAGTAGCTGGAGTAAATTCCCGTTTAGAGAATTCTCTGATGAAGGTGGAGACACTCAGAGTTGCGTGGGGCCAATCCACAATGGTCTCTCATTGATACTATTTACTTTATCAAATGGGACTAACAAGTTGGAAACTCCTGGCCCTGGAGTGCGTACATATTTTTTTTTGTTAGCGATTGTGACTCAAACGGTGAACATATCTTTAGGCCCCCACAGAAGACTCATTCTAATTTTCGACGCACATATTCGTTACTTTATCTTTTTATTGTAGACATCAGTGTTTTTCATTGGGAATATATATATATAGAACTTCAAATGGAGGAATTTCAAATCTATTTTGTATTAAATGGATCTGAGCAACACTACTTTGTATATCCACTACCTTTTGGTGAATATATTTATACACTTGCTCATCCTTATGATTTAAATAGATCAAGAGATTCATTGAAAAAAGAGGTTATGACAATAAATCTAGTTCACTACGTGTAAAACACTTAATTATTTGAGTATTTCTACTAATTATTCTAAATCAAAATAACTTTTTGGGACATAACAATAACATGTTAAGCACAGTTGGTGTATTCGTCGGCTCCCTATTAAGTGTTAATGCATGGTTCTTTGGTAATCTCTAGTTTAATAAAAAATAATAATAATAATAATAATAATAATAATAAATTCACTAATGAGGGTTAAAGATTCAATTAAGAGAAAGAAACTTATAATATTGTAGCTACTCATGGTTATTTTGGCCAATTAATCTTTCAATATACTAGTTTCAACAATTCTTGTTCTTTAAATTTCTTCCTAGCTGTTTGGCTTGTAGCAGCTATCTAGTTCATTGTTTTAGGTATTAGCATTATGGCATTCAACCTAGATGGTTTCAATTTCAACCAATTTGTAGTTGATAGGTCGCGTAATTAATACCCGGACTGATATTATTAACCGTACTAACTTTGGTATGGAAGTTATACTTGAACGTAATGCTAATAATTTCCCTCTAGACCTAGCTGCTACTGAAGCTACATCTAAAAATGGATAAAATTTTGATCTTTGTGTATATAAGTTTTTGAAAATAATGGAGCAATACCAATTCTTTGCAAGAGGGTTAATATTACTCCATTATTTAGTAGTTTTTTATTTACATACGTTTCGTTTGGTTGTTTGTTTTTCAACAAAACGAAAGCCATTTTATGCAAATGAATTAATATTAATGTATATTTCATTTCTATTTCTAGGATAGATTTTTTACCCAAATTTTAGCAGAAAATTCAGGCTTTATTACTTTTGGTTTTGGTTTGTGTAATTATATCAATAACTTGAATGTTTTATATTGGTGAAATTTATGTTTTAAGCTTAAGGCTTGTCATTGTCTCGTATTATTATCAATAAAGTTTTAGTTTATTTGTTTGTTTGTATTACTTATTTATATTTATATATTTCGGGAATTTTATTTGTGAAATTGATCATTAGTGGATATCCCCTGTGGGCTTTGGTTTGTGGGTTCACTTGGATATAAAAAATTGTAAGCTGCATGTTGAATACATTTTGCTATGCTACTTAATGTTTAATTATGCAGTTTCTTACTAATCAAAAGTTTCATATGTAGAATACTAAATTGAATCTAATAGTATGATTGTTAGTTGCTGTTGGTTGTTAGAGAAGAGATAAAAGACCGAGAATGTCATCATCTGGGTCTCCGCAACATTAAAATTGAAATGGATTTGGACATTGATTTTTAGTTTATTTAGTTTACGGCTTGATCTTTGGATTTAGATTTTGGATTTATTGTATTTGTTATAGTGTTCCTTGGATTTCATATTTTATTTTTTTACAGGGCTTATAATTTTTAAACTTTTCATATTAGATAACACCTTCATGCTGATGTCAGCATGACATCATCTTGTTGACATCAGCATCTGTAGGCTACTTTGAAGAAATGAAGAATTTAGTTAATGTTCAAAAGTTAGTTAAATACAATTAATGGACAAGGACTACCGAAGTTAGGCTGATAAAAATGAATTGCTGTACAAAAGTAACAGAAGTACAAAGTCTGTTTAGTCCGTTCATCCACTTAAGTTGAGTAACGGAAGCGCAAAAGCTGATAAAAATGAATTTCTGTTGGACGTTGAAGTGCTAAGATGATCAAAGAAACGAAACTACAAAGCTATTAAGTGTTTCTCTCCTGGCCTTAGCTAGAAGTTTTAGGAAGACATACTTAGAGAAAGAAGAGAATGCAAATGAAGAAGGTTTTGAGGCCTAAAACTATGGTTAAAAAAAAAAATAAATGTCCCCACCATCCAGCCAAAGGTCTCCTCCAAAAGGCCAAAAAAAAGAAAGAAAAAAAAGAAAAAGGAAGCTATTCAGGCTAATGAAGACCATAATAGGATGTATATGGAGGAGTGAGATATGATCCACATACTGAGAGATACTCAATTGATTGTTCACTGTACCAACGTCCACAAAGACGGTTACTTTTGATAGTTACGAGAACCGAACCTAATTTTCATGAAGTGTTCAAGGAATAAACTATAAGAACTAAGAAAAGTGCAATGAATAGGCTAAGAGAAAGAAACTAATTAATATTTACCAAGAAACTTCCCATCCAAGATTCTTGGTATTTTCTCTTCTATTTGTGGTTTTCTTTGTTGAAGATTTAAAAAGAAGACCTTTCCTCCTACCAGAGATGAGCAAAACTGGAGAATTTGGACCACTTCAGACCCAAACCCGATAAATTTTCCTAAAGGGATGTAGACTCAGAATTTGTTATTATGAGGAGACAACTAGCGGAAAAATTGGCATGCAAAAAGATAAAACCTCTAATAACCCATGAAGAACTTGTTTTTCACCTCAAGTTAACTACTCAGAACCTATACTTCAAGGTATTAACTTTTCTACCAACTTCTTATATTTCAATCTTGAACATATTTATCATTTCTATTTACAGACTTCAAATTTCAGTAACTTATAATTAATGTATCAAATGATTTCAATGTCCTGATATTAACATAAAAGAAAAAAAGAGGTCCGTGTTGGGGAAATTGAGAACTGCTTCCATGGAACCATTGGCATCGTTTTTTAGCCTGCATTAGTAGTTTCTCCAAAAATGAAACTCACTCCAACTAAAACTTTCTTCAGATTCATGAATGTTGAAGCTGATGAACAACTTAATTTTCTTGTTACTGCATTAACAACAATGTTCAATACAGTCTGACTCATAACTGCAAATTTTATCATAAACCACAATAATTAAAACTGTCGATCAAATAATTATCACCAGCTATTTTTATACAAGCACGGAAAGAAAGAAAAAATGAAATTTACATACCTATCCTGCAAATCTCTTCGATAGATATTAATCACTTCTATTCAAGCACCAAGGAGAAGAAGCATGGTTTCTTTCATGCTTAGCAAATGCTTTCTCAAAATTACCCATCTGTTTTCTTTCACCAATTGATCCACATCATAGAAATTGGAATCACTTTTTGTCCCAATGTCTTCTTACATCCAATAATCTTAACAAGTTAAGCCAAGCACCAAAGAGAAGAAACATAGTTTCCTGAGAAAACAACAATTGAAATTCTCGATTTTTCAATTGCATCTAGGAGTTCTGATGAAATGGGTTTTCCTATCCCGAGTGCTTTGACTCCTTTATGAGTCAAAGCAAAATTTCACTGATCATCTCTATTCTGTTTTGACTCATAAAGGAGTCAAAGAACTTGAGATAGAAAAACCCATTTCATCAAAACCCCTTCATGCAATCGAAAAATCGAGAATTTCAATTGTTGTTTTCTCAAAAAACTATGCTTCTTCTCCTTGGTGCTTGGATAAACTTGTTAATATTATTGAATGTAAGAACACATTGGGACAAAAAGTGGTTCCAATTTTCTATGATGTGGATCAATTGGTGGGTTTAGGGTTTAGGTTTACGATTCCAATTTTACGAGTCAAAGCATAATAGAGATGACCCTTGAAATTCTTTCTGGTGTCTTCACCTCAAAAACTTAGGAACACATCATATTTCCAACCAGAGGAAGAAGATCCATATGAAGAGACTCTTTGGATGCTCATGATGAAAACAACTATCAATTGACTTGAATCAACTAGCTTTGTTTATGCAAGTTACAAGTCTGTCTATGTAACCAGATTCCTCCTATGCAGGACACTGAAAATTTGGAAACTCTATGCAGGACACTGAAAATTTGGAAAAACAAAAAAATATATAATTTCCAGAAAAAAAAAAATACATCCAAGAGAACGATCCAACTCTGATCTTGTGTAGATCTGTAAATTAAACTTAGAACAGAATATATTCAAAATCCTACTGAGTTGTAAGATTAGTTTCACTAATTTTCCCTCAAAGAAAGAACAATTAGATTTGCCAGATCCTTAAACTAAAAAAATAAAATAAATAAAATAACACAAGCAGATTTTAAGGAAACCAAGAAAACTTACAGCTTTCGCCAAAAGAACTTTAATCTGATCAGTCGAAGAACATTTCCGTGTGAAACTAAAACGAAATCAAAGACAAAAGCAAAAGATAGTCTGTCTTGCTCGGAAGGCAGAGATTTTTTGCGCGTGAAGTAAAACAAACTTGTATAGAAACCCCAAGGTTTTGACGATGACATCAACGCCCTATATTTACAAACTATGAGACAGTCCATATATTAATCTTTATCTATTTAATTTTCTCTTAAAGGCTTTGTCCAATAATTTTTTTTTTTAATTTTACGTATTTATAAAATTAATTAAAAACAATAAATTTTTTTATATTTTTAATCAAAACTTGTGCATAATTCGTAGTTCATAAGGGTAATTTTCATAAAATCCTGCTAATCATCAAACCCTTGCATGATTGTCAAATAGACAGAAAAGGGGGGAAAAAATCCAAGCAATAATTGCTTATTTATTAACAGTAAAATGAGTATTAAAATTATACACTTTTTGCATAGTCGTTACGAATAAGTGATTATGTGTAACCAATTATTTATCTTGCTGGAGATTAAATATTAAATTCAACAAATATAGAAATATGCTTTAGCGCTTAATTTATTTGTTTGAAAAGTAATTTATAATTCAAAACCCAAAAGAATTACACTAGGGTCAGGTAAAATACTAGATTGGAAATTAAAAAATGAAGCAATATGAGCCATAGACATAAGTTCCAAATAAAATTAAATATTTAACTTTTACCTCATGGAATAGCTTCACGCTGCAAAAGAGCAGTCACAGGCATAAATAGATACTTCCCCGACTAAGTGTACCCTATCAAGTATATAAAAAATATAATTAATAAAAGCACCAAGGCAATTTTAAGCTGAAAAAAGGAAGAATTAAGTGCACCAAAGGCATTAAATGCTACAAATATGGGGGGGAGACGGAAAGAAACAAACACAAAGACATGTTACACTTGGGGACAATTTCCACATTCCGATCCAGCCCATGATTTTCTAACCTTGAAACCAAGAGAGAAAACATGAGATTTAAAAGGGAAACCCAAACACATCCATTAATTGAACTTTAAAATAAATGAAAAGAAAGAAAGAGAGCAGTCAACTGGATACTTTTGGCGGATAAGTTAATTGATTTAGGAACAGCAACTTTCCCCAGTCATGCCACGTCTTCTGGCAGAAGCCATCTGCAAAATATTTACATTAGATTAAATAAAAAATTAAAAAAAAAAAAAGCTTACAACATAATAGATTATAACCATATACATCCAAACATGCTCATAAGCCTATACTGATTGTAAACTAATTACGTCAAATGCATCAAAGCAACTTGCACAAGGGGAAAATAACAAAAACAGGCCTAATACATTATATTTCATAAAAAATTGATACCCAATCCCTAACCACCTTATGCAAATTACCTACAACTTCTCAACGAACACAAGCTTTTAGAAATAAAAATAGCTCAAGTATATCCCATATTCCCACTCCTCGACTGGAAAAAGTTTTAAATGAGAGCAAGCAATTGAAGACTCATAAAATACAGAGGAAGTTTTGCTTCACAATCATAAAATAAATCCAGTGACCATGTATTTTCTTCATTAAAAGAACATTGAAAACAAAGCAGGTGTGTGTTTTGTTTTTTTTTTTTTTTTAAGGAAACTCAAGAGTGCAGTATTCTCAATAGTGAGATGCCAAACAGGGTCATTCAAAGTCTGCAGCTGGATGAAGCAGCTAGCAAACATAAGCAAGTCAAGAAAGAGCTACAGTGAACAGCAATGATGTAGAGCATTCAACTTTGACACTATGAACTTGGCCACCAAATCAACCAAAGTTATGGCTTGAGTATTGTTTCTTTCTTTGATTGCAAAAAAACAGGGTACCTTCATTTCCAGTCAACATACTTGAAACCATGGTTCAACTGTCTTGCAATGTCATTCAAACAATTTTGAAGCAATCTGTGTAAAAGAAAACAATTAATCGATCAGATATAAAGTATTAAAATATTGCAGTTATGATTTTTTTTTTTTTTTTTTTTTTATGCAGCTGTGGGAAAGACATAAAAAGATTACCAATAAACATTTATTTTAAAGAAACAAGAAAAGCTATATGACTTCGATATTCCCCATTTCCAACACAAGCACAACTACCCATATTATAAGAATGTATCATCCAAAGTCCATTCAAATAGCCCGATACACCTTGTACATACTTACACATAATGTAACAAAACAGCACCAGACTCCTTGACATCAAATCAAAACAATTAAAACTCACAAAGTTCAATCCAAAGATGGAATTAATAGTATAACCAAGGTATTTCAACAAGAAGGTTTGAAATCTTAATCTTAAGTCATAACAAGTATATATATCAAACGAGTTCCTCATGCAAAAAGATTACGAAGCCACGTAGCCCCCATATCAATTGTGGTAAATATAATAAGAGGGAAGAAGTTCCGCAAGATGATTTATTATGCATTTGACTAATTGGGCATTGAAAGAAAAATTATGAACAAAAATATTTTACTTATGCTTCCAGTAATTAATAAACATTTTTTAACTGATAAAAGTTACAGTTAAATCATGATACCTTATGGTATGCATAGAGTCAATAAACTTATAACTTCTCAATAATATTGCTTCAGCAAAGGAAAATGATAATGAAAAACTAAAATAACAAAAACAAGAAACAAGTCAGTTTTAAACTGATAAATGCATTTAAACCAAGTGTGATTATTTCATTACCAAATTAATTATTATCATAACAGTAAATCCGAAATTCTATAGGTTTTTGATTTGGAGAAAGAATGTGAATGATAAATAATGTTCTGATTTGAATTAATACATTTTTCTGTGTCTCAGTTTTCAGTTAAATTTTAGAAATTAAAAATGAAGTGATAATGTCTAAGTTATAACAATTTCAAACTAGATTAATGATGTTTATTATTTAACAAACTATTCCAAACAAATAACTTGTAATTCTAAATTCACCTATTTTAAACATTTTGGGGTAATAGTAGGAATAGCTTATCATTTGGGTATTAATATCTATAGGCCGGTAGTGCTTTATATGATTCGGATTTCGGCATCCAACTATCTAGCTTATCATTTGGGCTTAAATCACATAAAGTATTTATAAATCTAATAATTTTATATATATCTAAAATAAATCACAAAGTTCTTTAATTAAATAAGCATGCTCACAAGTAACCGGGAACACTCATCTGAATTTATATATATAATGAAGACCGTAACGGATATCAGCTCAATCCGATGAAATTATGCAGAAGCTTACAGGATTATTATGAAACTATGCGACTAGAAATTGATCCTATGATCGAAGCTACATACTCTATAACATAGGCCTTATCCACACAAGTAAGGAGAACATACAAAAGCTGTAGAATATTATTTTTGGGCACTAGAACGAAACCGTTCTTACCACAAGCTAATAATATGGTTGTGTTCTGTCATTACGTGGGACTATCTTGATCTAGAAAGGAAAAGGGGAAGAAAGAGCAAATACATAATAAATACTAGAGAAAAAAAAAAAAAAAAGGCTTATACATATGCATCAGGAAAAATGATTTTTACCAGCGTAGCAAAGGAAGCAACTTCATAGAAGTCGAATTATGAAGAAATAAATATGCTAGATACTTTATTCTATGGATAAAGGATCTAATTGATAGAGGAAGCACCTGTAAAGACCAATTCACCAGGTTTTGGGCTGATACCTATCCAATCTTGATGTAGCAATGAGCTTCCGAAAAGTACAAACCTGTTAACGAACAAATCACCCACTCAAGGCCCATAACTCAAGGTAAGGCATTGTTAGGTGAGACCTAATGCTCTAGATCCAAATCATAGCCAACTATAGTTCTTATGGCAAGACTGGGATTGAAACCAATTAATTTGATATAGGCCATAAATTAATAAAACAGTATAGCAAACATTAGTTAGATTATCTTAAATTTCAAGGTCATCAAATTTGACATGTAAAAATATTCAGGTGAACACAGAAACCCTTTTCTAATGGTAATTGCTTTATGCTGCTTCCAATAGCCCCCTATGCTCTCTCAGCATCACCATTAAGTAAAACATAATCAACACACCATGCTCTAAATTTTTTCTGTCTCTATCCAGTTTCTCTCTTTTCAATTTGATAAAACCCCTTCCTGATAATTCCATTTTACCATCCAAAAACTTCCACCAAAGCCCAAAATCATAAAACTTATCGCCCCTACACTTATCCATTTATCCACGGGTTTCAACATCTAATTTGAAACGTCAAGTTACAAGTCATAATCAAAACCAAAATCCATAAGCACGTTAAGATTCTGTTTTATATCAACATTTACAATTCAATATCTACTAAGCTTCCAAACACTTCTACAGCACACGATCACCAAACATGAAAAAAAAGGGCCAGTAATTAAGAACTAATGTCCAAATAAACTTGACACATACAATTATTATTCCAATAAAACGCAAAAAACTATCTTAAAGCAAACAGAAACAATAAACACAAATCTCACCATCAAAGACAAAACAAAACGGAAACTAGCAGTGACATGCCGCAAAGCTAAGGTTTGAGAAAATAAAATTCTAAAGTCACACCATTAATTAATCGAACATAGATTTGAAACTGATTAAGATATCGGAATCGGATGCAGAGGAGCCAAAGTAATTGCAAGACAAAAGTATTCAACCCAGGTCGAACGGCTGAATCGGAGCAAATCCGGTCGCGATCGTCCAAACGGCCAAACAACCGAGTCCAACCATGAGTCGCGGCGCTAGACGGTAAGATCACGGCTAAGCAGCCGAACCGACCGACATCAACTGGATTCGGTGGGATTTAATCACACGAGACAGCAAGCGGTAATGGTGGCTAAAGATAGCAGACGATAGGTAGCATAGCCTGTGTCCCTGTGTAGGGATTTGATACAAAGGAAGTAAAACACCCACTGAAGTACTAGTGTGTGTTTGGTTGGGCTTCGCTAACGTCATCTCATATTATTGACAAGTAATAAATATTATAATTGAAATTATTGGTTATATGGGTAATAATTTAAATACACATTTTATTAAATATTATAATGTTATTTGATAATTTTAATTTTAATTTTATTATATTTATCTCTAATTATAAAAAATTAAACAATCATGTTTGTTCTAAAACAATTTATAAGATATTTATAGATTATTTTATCTTTATACAAGATTTTAAGACATTATTACTTATACTTAAACAATTATTCAAGACCAAGTAGATTCGAACCATCGGATTTAATCGATGTCGTCAAAAGGCACCGACGACCGAATCTGAACGATTTGCATCGATCTGATTTTCAGTAGATTCATAACGTTAAGATAAATCTAGTAGCCATTATGACTAAATCCACTCTAGTGGTTAATGGTCATGTATCTGACCCAAAACGGCCATGATGGAATGTTATAAACCTATAAATATCTAATAATTCCCAGAGAATAGTTATCAAAAAAAATATGCAAGTTAGTGAGACAAAGAAAACCCACAATCAAATTCAAAAATCTTTTATCAATTTTTCAACCAATAAAATTGTTATCTTAAAATTTGATGCTGTTTCCCAGCAAAATTTTCCTACATATTTTAAACGACCATTGATGAATACAGGTTCTATTTACATTTTTTTTTTAACTTTATAGAGTTTACACAGGTTTTTACAAAAAAAAATGTGTTCGTTAATTTACCTTCAAGTATAAAACTTTTTTTAAGTTTATAAATAAAGTAATATTTATATTAATTGATCTCAAAACTACATAACCTTGATGTGATA